GTAGTAGTAGCAGTAGTAGCAGCGGTAGCCGTAGCCGTAGTAGTAGTAGTAGTAGTAGTAGTAGCAGCAGGAGTAGTAGTAGTAGTAGTAGTAGTAGTAGACGACGAGAGTGAAGGGACAGGAGGAAGGGCGCATGCCGCCAGGTCGTGTTCCTGGCGTTACAGTATCCTTGGAGGTGCTCAGAGCTGCTGGTAGATCTTTGAAGTAGCTGATGCAATTGTCAGCCGGACGTCTAGTCGAGTCTAGTCATGCTCTCTCGGCGTGGAGGCTGTCAAGATGGATATTGCCGAGGAAGCTGGAAGTCCGAGTCCACTTTTAGAGGCCTATTTATTGAGCTGGCCCAGCCGCAAATGCACGGCACCAGAGTGTAAAACTACAAGAGAGCAGGCGGTCATGGCTGGTCGCAGTATGGATATGGAGCGAGCCCAGGCTGGGAGCTGATTTGTTGTTTGATTCTTCATGCTGCTTCGGTGTGCGTGGATCTTTTTGCAGGCGATCGCCCGGGATATTGCAAAGCCGGATTACACCCTTGGACAGTATTTTCAAGTCAGCTGCCTGCACAGTTAGATGTGCTTGGCCTCACACATTAACTTGGCATTTCTGGTAGGCCTGTGCTGAGTCACCTTTCTCTCAAGCTTGTCACGACATTCGCTGAGGACCTCATGGCCACTTTTCCCGAACTTCATTTGTTTGGCCTTGAGGGGATGCTTGCCTGCATCTTTTTGCTGAGTGCTGATGAGGAAAAAATACCTGCATAGAATTCAACAGGCCGGTGAGGAACCACAGAGAATTCACAGGAGGCATCAAGGTGTGTCTGCAGTCATGCTCGTGTTTTTTTGCCTTATGCTGACGCAAGTTCAGTAAAGCTGAAAGCCTTGGCTGTAACTTCAGATTCAGCTGCTACGCTCAGCCTCCGCCCAGCCTCCGCCCAGCCTTGCTGGCCCCCAAACCGTGAAACCCTGCAGCGACCTTTGTTACTGGAGCTTCTGCGGTGGAGTCTGGAGGGGCGGCTGCTCTTCTTTCAGCTCACTTTTCGATGAACAAAACTGGATTGCCACGGCATGCATGCTCTGCTCAGGATGTCTGGGGACACGCTGGAGTTCAAGCGCGATGTGCTTTTGGCTGCACAACGGCTACTGAAATTATTGTTTGTCACTAGGAAACGTGCCATGCCCATTAATGTGTTAGTCGTGCATCTGCGCACACGTGCTAGACGCTGCTAGATGCAAGGTCCTCTATGGCGGAAGGGTGGCTGGTGATGAGTTCCAACGCACCATTGGGGCATTTTTCGCTATTTATTGGCTGGTGCGTGGCTCGTCGCACAGATGTAATGGGACAGTTTCTTCTGGAAAGACATGGCTGACAACCTGACAAGCCAGGTTCGGCCATCGATGGCAAGCATGGGTTCTGTCACGGAGTTGATGATTTATGGAGGCAGGCCATCATCATGGTCGTCATCATCGACTCATGCGAGCCAAGAGCCAGAATGGCATTGATTGCGACAGCACGGCTGACATCCCGAGCGCTGTATGCCCCAATCCTTCACAGCCAACGTTAAGCAAACGAGCAGTGGGAGCTGTGTGTCTTTGCTGCCTTGCTGCGCAGGCCAATGGCTTCTCGTGAAGGTGAGAGTGACAAAGCCCGCGTGCCTTGCCAACAATAGCTGCTTGAGCACGGGGCATTAGTCACATTCTGCCGGCCAGGTGTTCTACGGCGACGAGACGATTTGGAATCATTTTCAAGATTTGATGCTCGATGCAGGCATGTCAAAGCAAGGATGATTTTGACAGAGCCGATGTTGCATCATTTTGCTACAGGTGTCCTGGTGCAGAAGAAGGGCCCGAAATTTGAAGTCGATTCGGAGACCACCTTGGCGCTGCTGGTGTTAACTGCAAATCCCCAAGTGCGTTGAACATCAGCTTGGCACAGATCCGTTGGCAGTAATTGATGCCATTTCTCACTGAGGCACTGCATGACGTCATGAAGGTGAGCTTGCTGCTGCCTGTGGTCCAGAAGGCTGATGCTCCATATCGCGGTGCGACTCTGAGCTGGGCCATGCAAGCATTTCGGGATATTTGCCTGTCGCGTTCTGGTTGTGTATTTGGCGCTGTACCCCGGCCCAGGCTACGGTGAAGCGGAGGTCATTGCAGACCATGATTTGGAACCTTACCCAAAATGACAATGGATTTTTTGGCATGCCCATGCAAAGTCAAAACCTGTGCAGTATTTTGTTGGCACAAAGGCAATTTTCTACCTCATCGAACGCTATCCACAGCTACTGCCATCACTGAGCCGCTGTGCCAGAAGTATGGGTGACCACGATGCCTGAGTGATTGGGTCGACTAGTCAGCAAACTTTTCGCTGCCCAGGCAGTTTGAAACCGGACCTCCAGTCCTCAGTGCAGATGGTGCTGAGCGGCCTCGCCTTCAACAATGGCTGCTTGGCAGTCATGCCTTGATATTTCAGCAAAATCGGGATGCAAACTCCTTTCGCTTGAACTATCCGAGGATGGTTTGTTCAAGCAGAGGCCCCGCCAGGACCGCCAACATCAACTGCATTTTTAGACCACGGTGGCAAGCTAAATCCGCGAAGCAGAAGAAACACTTCTTGTGGAGCCCTGCAGTGACATGTCGACATGTTGCAAAGACGACTGCAGGAGCTGTGCTGCGTGGAATCAAGGCTGCAATCACCTCACAGAACAAGACGCTTAGCCGCAATTGCAGCAGCATCAAAGGAGGAGACTCTTCACGTAGATGACGATATAGGAGAAGCAAGCTCTTTGCGCTTCTCCTTGTGATTCCAGAAGGTCGACTCTTAGGATGAAAGCATACAGCCCGGTGGTATCGTAGTCTCAGACAGGGAGGGGTCGGGGTGAAGAAATATGAAGCCGAGATGCAAAGCCAAGAGTGAGGAGCTGAAGACTTTGAAGATTGATTCTGTTGAAGGAAGCCTTCAGAGATTGATTGTGAAGACTCCCAGCGAAGCGACCGGCAGTGCAACAGCCTAGACAGCAGCAAAGGCGTCTAGATTTTACGCGCAGGCTTGAAACTACTCTTCAATTGCACACAAGCTCTCCATGTAAGATCAGCTATGCTGATCAGCGCTAGGGGGGGGTACACCTGGAATTTGGCCTTATTTTGTTGTCTTGCCTTTCTGGGACAGGCAACACATCCAGGAGTAAAAAGTAGTGCGCTCTGAGTTGATGATACGCAGCTAGTTGCAGGGGGATTATCAGGCCTTTTTTTCGTCATCAGAAAGGGCATGTCCTGGGCTCGTTTCGTGGAAGAATGGTCGCCGGGGTGCAGCTGGCGAGTCTCCATGGGGTTCCGTCCCAAGGTAGTCCAAAGGCGCACCGCACGCTACGAATGCCTGCAAAAAAATGCATGACGCCGCTCAGCCTCTCATGCATCTTGGAGTTTTGCACGTGTTTGCACGTTTGTTGGGCCTGGCGCGCGTTCAAATGAAAATTAATCAGCAGTAGTTACTGCCGTGTCCCTTACTGGCGCAACAGCTAGGTGGTAAGGGGTAGATCGGGCAGGAATGGTACATACAGAGCTTGAAGCGCCTGGGGTTGGACCTGGTCTGACCTTGCAAAACCAATGCTCCAAAAAAGGTAGCCATTTATGGAGAAATGGCTTTATGATTTACTGGGTGGGGGGGAAGGGTTATTGTGTCCCCTCCCATGGGGCGTAGATCAGGAAGCAAGACCGCACCAGTGGTTTTTCATGTATAGAATTTCAACGGAGATCGATACTTGAGTGGAGGGGTTAGGACTGTCGGGAAAAATCATTCATTACAGAAAATGCCAGGCATGCAAGCCTCTTGTATATATACATACTGCTGCTATTGCTGCTGCTCCACTTCATTTAGCATCGCTAGTACGAACCATTCAAGATGGCATTATCACAAGACATGCGCATGCAAATAAGATAGGGGGATGCATTGTTTAAGGATGTTGTTTGTTTGTATGTTTTCTGTTTTTGGTGTTTGGGTTCCCGGCTTCTTGGCTTCGCGGCTCTCCAGCTTCCTGGTTTTCGTTTCGTGGCTCATTTGGCTTCCAAGCCTATCGCTTCCTGGCTTATCGGCTTGCTGGCTTCTTGGCTTTGCACAAGCTCTCCCAATGCCTCCCGACAATCAACTGAATGAGGCAAGACTGTTACTCTTCAGGAATCATGGAACTCTTTTGGTTGACGCCCTGGTAATCCTTCCCAATCTGCTTCAAACAATTGAACCCTCGCATGGAGCATCCTAATTACAGCATTTGGGCTCGGAACATCGCTCTCACATGGAGCAATCCTGGCATGAGCTCAAGCTCTCGTGTGGAACGTCCTCGCATGTTGGTTCCAAATCCAGCTCTCATATATTATTTTGCTGTAAATGCGGATAGACGCAAAAAGCCATCACGGCTTCCCAAGTAGGAATCTATATGAAGCGCCAATGAAGAATACCAGCATAGTTGTATGTAAATGGCAGTGCGGTAGCATGCGTAGGTAAGGTAGTCCTAGCCCTCAAGCCAGAGCGAAGCCGCTGAAGCGAAAACCAGGACGAGAAGCCATACACACAGCTTCAAATGTGTAAGCTACGGCCACCGGAAAAGGCAGCCGCGTGTGGTCAGAACCTGCCGAGCCAAAGAGGCAGAGGCCTGGTTGTGCCAAGTTCCTGTCAAACCAGCAAAAACGAATTGTGGTGATGTCACATAGCATGTCATAGATGCGGCTGTGCCAAAACCTCCACCACTGCTCCAAAAACCCTTCCGGGATTCCGAGTTCACTGCCTGACCTATGTCAAACAGCATGGGCAGCAGTTGCCAGCACCTCTAGCGCCTGTAGCGTTCTCAAGCCGGGTCCCAACTGGCGATACTAACAACAGTGCGCTGAGGGCCAGCAGGAAGAGCCAAATCCAGCTCTCATCATCATTTTGCTGTAAGTGCTCCATCCTCACTGATGGGATAAGGTGCAAAAGCCATCACGGCTTGGCCACAGGGCCAGTTGCATGTCACAAGGCTCGCGGGTAGCACGGCAGCTTGAAGAAGTGTGAAATTTTGAAGCCGAGAGGCTCGGCAACAAGTGGTGGAAGATGAAGAGCTCAAGTCATCCCTGCTAAAATCCAAGCACCTGGTGCGTGAACATGGCAAACTGAAAAACAGTACTGGGCAGGGGAGTGGGGAAGGATCTTATAGGGCCTTGGGCCAAATCGAGCTCTCGCGTGGGTCCTCACATGTCGAATGGAAATCACGTTTTTCAGGTCCATCCACGCTTACGGTAGACATATGCTTGCAGTAAGGGAGGCTTGTGCTGATCATTTTGTTTGCAAATGGGGGGGGGCCTGCACCCCCCCCCCAACTCACCCGCTTCTTTTAGGCCATCCATGCTTACCTTAGAAAACATCAGGTCATCACCATATTTGCAGTGAAGGAGGGTGGTGCAGATCATGCAGGGGGGGGGGCTGAAATGCTGCAATTCGCAGTGTTCGTATTCTTTGCAAAGCTCCGAATGCTGTAATTTGCAACGTACATCGGCAAGGGGAAATTCAGAGCGGGCGGGCATGCTGCAACTAAAAGCACCTGCAGGCTCGAAAGCTTCAAACTGTACGTTACAATCTCTGCACACTCTGAAAAGCTCCAAATGCTGTAATTTACAGGATCTGCAGGCTCTGGATGAGGTCCCAACGTTATAATCAGATTTAAACTATCTATGAGGTCTACATGAGCTCCAAATGCGGCCTCCAGAAAATTCATAGCTGGCATGCTATGATGTACAGCAACTGCGCGTTTCAAGAGTTTCAGGCTGTAATTAATAGTATCTGAAATGTCTGTAACTTAAAGTATTTCCAGGCTCGAGATGGGGTCCCATGGCTGTAATTTACAGCATCTGCAAGTTCTAGATGAGCTCCACATGCTGTCGTTTACAATATCTGTAGCCTCCACGCGACCTAGCATGCGGCAGCTTATCGCGAGCCAAAAGACTGCAGTTTACTATAGTATCTGCAGCCTCTACGCAGCCTAAAATGTTGCGATTTGCAGCATTTCGGCTCGAATCCGCGATTTCGCGTGGAAAGTTTTCCTGTTTCGGAATTTTTCTGAACAAGAAAACAAACTAATTCAAATCTACGTCTATAAGATTGTTCATCACAAACTTGGGTTTTGCCTCTGTAGTCATTGAGTCTCGTGACATTCCAGATTTGTGGAACTTCCCGATCTGGACCATTCAACAGACATGGCTTTGTTTTCAATCGCACGCATCATTGCTGCTTTTTTGGGCATTGTCTGCTTCTCTGCACATGCTTTGTCTGTTCTCATTTCACCAGCGCCGGCGGGACCAGAGGACAGATGAGAAGTCGTATAAGCAGGGCATGCTGAACTATCCTTACTGCTTCGGTGTCCATTCTGAGTTTCTTATATCTGTGAGAAGCAGTTTTCAGTTGCTTTGTCCTCGATCTTTGTCTCGTTGTGCGTCTCTCTCTCTCTCTCCCCCACTCCCCCTCCAGTCTTTTTGTCTCTCATCGTCGTGATCTTTCTCTTGTGAGTACCCGCTGGCAAGCAGCATGCCGTCCTCCTCAGTGCCGCTTGTTAGACTGCAGCTTGTGGACTGTAGTGGACTTTCCTGTCCCGAGGTCAGATCGGCAGGTTAGCAAGCGCGACTTGAGCTTGTACTTCGTACATTGGCTGACAGCCTGCAGCTGAGAAGATGTGTGCTAAACATGTCGGTGACATTGTTATGCGGTGCAACCAGTTGTTGAATTCTTCAGGACCTGGCGGGAGCAGAGCCTTCTCCATTGTTTGGCTGCCTGAAGCTCACCAGCCAGCTCCCCCTTCCTGTCCTGTCACGGGGCTGCAGAATCCAGCGTTTGTGCATTGGTGGGTGTTGCCAGCTGCGGTGCCATTTTGGATTTACATGCTCTTGGCATCTTGTAGATGGCCTGTCAGGAAGAGCTTCATGGAGTCTGTCAAGTCGCTGAAATGCAGTGTGAGTTCATGCAAAGCAGCTGTGCATATGTCCAGCTGCGAATAGCTTCTCAAGTTGCTGACTGAGGTATATTCAGCAGCTGGCGGAACGCACAGAGACAGAGGTCATGGAAAGCTACCTGAAGGCCCTGCATTGAGGTATTGGAAATCTTTGTGAACTCCGGCAGGCTCGACCCTCCGTTCTGTTTATCTTGATCCCGATGTGAGGACCGCTGGAGAAATCACCAGCCACCGGTGGGGCCTCTGCCAAGCGGGCCTGAAGCTCTCGTCAAAACGCGTTTGCTTTGTATGGTCGAGCTGGCTCAACTTGTCTCGCTTGTGCCTAGTCCCTGCCGGTACCCGCATGCTGGGAACATGCCAGGCTCAAGGCATGGCCACGCAAGTGCTCGAAGCCTTCGACAAGCTCAGCGATGCGGACAAGGAGGCGCTGTGGACTGCCCTCGTGTGGGTTGATCTGCATGCACCTCCAGAAGAAGCCGGAAGCAATTACAGATGGGGCAGGAATGCTGATCAAGCATGAATGTGCAGTTTAGTGTACCTCAAGCCTTAAGCCTCCACTCAGCAGCCATGACCACAAGCAGACGAAACAGTTCAGGTCCTCAGCATTGAAATGTCGCGAACTGGTGTGCTTCTTGGGATCTGCTGTCTTATCGCTCAAGAGTCTTTGAGCAGGCTGTTCTTGCGGACTCAGGCACGGAGAACCAAAGTTTCTCTGAGGGCTTTGTGCCCGCATGCGTGGCTCAGCTGCAAACCCATGAAGCTGTTACCATGGACCTTTCTAGCACAAGACAAAGATGATTAAAGACGAGCAGTGCAAAGTAATGCCAAGGTCAGGGACCGTTTGGCCGGGCCGGCATTCTTGGTGTACTACGGCCCAGCATTCCTCCAGAGGCAATTCCACATTTGTCAGCAGTAGCTGTTTTGAATATAGACTTGCACCAGCAAACGTGAACATGAAGAAGCCATGCACAGCACATCTGCCCTCACAAGCTGGGTCAATACGGAGCATTATGGAGCTGTCCATAGCTCCTAGGGCCTGCCAGGAAGCAAAACAAGTTTGCAGGCGAGCACAAAGCCCATGTAAAGAACTGGCTTTCTTTGTGGCACCGTGTTGCGGGGGGGTGGTTTCAAGCATGTGGAGGAAGCCTAGAACCATGTGCCATGGGGCTGTCAAGATCTAGTGAAGCTGTCTTTGCCACGTCATGCCACGTCTTTTTCCTGGCATGGGATTCATGTTGAACAATGGGTGCAGGATGCACAACGATAGTCCCCTCAGACGTTTGGAGATTTTGACGGAGATTTACCGCCGCGCGCGGAAGCTTTGGCCTGTCACTGGACTTCAAGTGCTGATGCAGGCTTGCATTTTGTGCGTGTAGGTTGCTGAAATCAAGCAAGCCAGCCAGCCAGCCAGCGAGCACGCCGCAGATAGCTAGAACTTGTGAAGAGACACAAAGCTCAGGCGGCATCTTGCATGTTCAAAGCACTGGAGGTGTCGACCTTGTTTTGCTGAGAATGGCATGCCGAGGCTACTACAGACCAAGCCGGAAATTTCGTCACAATCCGAATTGATGCCATCACCATCCAGGTGCAGGGGGGTCGCAGGGGTTGTTGCGACTAGCAACAAGATAAGCTCTACAGGGCTGCAATTGGCTGTCGCGCAGGAGAAGTGGAGCTCATCTGATCCTGGACTCCTGCTGTTGAGGCATCTTGGATCTTTAGACAGCGACCGCCAAGCATGGTTGCTTCCCAAATGGCTTTTTGCTCCAAATCTGTCGCATTTCTTTCGCTAAGGATGAGCAGCAACAAGCAGGCTGTCATTGAAAGGAAGCCAGAGGCAGACCCCAAGACAACGAACGTCAAAGAGGACGCAGTTCATTTCATTGTACTTCAGAGCGTAAGAGGCGGCTGGCGCGCGTCATTGCGCAAAATGGTTTCCCTGTCAGGAAAACACTGAGATCCTGTTTGCTCCGGATGTGCTCAATAGTCCTGATGGTGAAGACATTTGCTCCCAACAGGACAGTTTTTCCACCTTCTGCTCCAGTGTACCACCTGCCTGATCGCACCACTTGCTGATATAGGAGATGATCAACCGGGTGAGCAATGAGATGTTAAGTGCTGGGACTTTCGGCAGCAAGTAAATAATCGTGGGTCTTGTAATAGAGATAGTGACCCTGCAACAGCATCCTCAATCTTACTCATCGGCTTCTACCTCTCACAGGGTGGACCGTGCGCACTCTCGCATTGCGAAATTGACTGCGGCACTGCCTGCTCCACAGCGTGCGCGAGTTTTGTTGCTGATGAAGCGAGACCTCCCCTGACGTAAAATCTCAAACGCCGCCGAAACATCATCGAGAAGGAATGGAGATTTTTCCTCAACATGTCCTGCGGCCTTGCGGTGGTCGAACAAACTGTAGAGGTCCATAAAGACGAAGTCAAATTATTCCAAGATTTCAACCATCCAACAATGTTTGACCTTCACACCCGCACAAAAACATCCCCTACGCAATTAAGATTCCTTCTGGAGGTGGATTCAGCCATTGCTTTCTCCCAAAGACCTGCCGCACTGGGTGCTTGGCGAATGCGGGGGATCCTGAAGCCCGTGCAACCTCCATGGAAGCTAGGAACAAGGAAACGTAAAGTCCAGCTGCTTTGCACTGGACTTTTTCCACGATTGTTTCGGCTGTTGTCCAGCAATCAGTGGGAAGAACAAGTTTTACGCTCAAACCCAGACACTGCCTGCACGGGTGCTGCAAGGCAAAGCTAGGAAAAGGAGAAATGACTGAACGGCGGGCAGCGTCCGTGAATGGCACGTGGACGTGGTCCGCAAGAAGCCGAAGAACTAAAAACAAGACAGAGAGCTGCTCATTCAAAGAGACTGTATGAGCCTAGGCGCTGGTACCGCAAAGTGGCTTTTGCGTTCCTGCGACGTGCGCAGCCAGGTTCCGGGCATGTTGTGGCACATTCCAGTCTGCTGGAGCTTGCTTTGGGGCTTCCGAAGGAGAGATTATTACCACAGTCGTGGATGGAAAAGAGGAAACGGTGAACACTGCGGTTGATGGGGACTATGTTGTGCACCCTGGCTTGTTCTGTGTTGTGTGGATCAAGCGATCTGATCTGGCACCTCAAGCATGATGAAAGTCATCCGCATCAGGCAGGCCAACACCCGTTGGAAGGAAAATTACATCTTGTCCTATGCGACCACATCCGCTGCTTACGATCCTTGGGCAGGCAGTTCATGTCAAGTTATAGCAAACAAGCGATTGGCAAAGGCCTGCTTTGCAGTGCATGTCCTTGGCCATGAGCAGCTTTGGTGCTGAGGACTTGGCAACCCCACTCGAGATTCCGCATGGCCGGGAGGATGCCCAGCAACTGCGCAAGGATGGGTATCGCTGCTACAGGCCGGCTACACCCGGCTACCGGCTTCCATGCCTGGGGTTACCACTACCTTGCCATATGCTGTTTTTTCCAAGGGAGCTCATCGTACTTATGTGTAGTCTTGGTTGGTGAAGACCGAAGTACCGAAGCATGCTCCCAGCACTTGATGTGCCGATTACGTGTGCGTAGCATGCAGCAGTACTGACAGGTCTCGCACGCGGATCCGCGCTCTGCGAGCTACGGAAGAGTTCTTGCAACGGCCTGGCCCAAAGCTAGTGCTAAAGGGCTTACATGCGAACACGCACACACACACATACACACATATATATATATATGGTCACCCCCCACTGATCTCTATTCACACAACATGTTATTGTAGAATCTATGCAAATTTTCCCAGTTTTTCCTATTTTTATATAAAATCTATAATCTATATGTTTTTTCACTATAAAAACCTCTCTTTTTTCGATGTTTTGCATTGAAAAACATGTAAAACCTGTGGAAAGCACGTATTTTTGCATGTTTTCAACTATTTTTCCTTTATTATTTTAGGACTGGAAATACCAAAAATCCGTAAAATCCGTAAAATCCAAAAATCCAAGATTTTCAGAGAGATGCCAGACTGAGTTTTGGATTTTTGGATTTTGGCCAGACCAAATTAGTACTGCCTATTTAATATAGTACACACGTGTATTAGTGCTTTTATATTTTATAAAGAATATATATAGACAGGCATACATTTATATTGTACTAAATATGCAGTACTAATTTGTACTGGCCAAAATCCAAAAATCCAGAAATCCAGAAATCCAAAAATCCAGAAATCCAAAAATCCAAAACTCAGTCTGGCATCTCTTTGAAAATCTTGGATTTTTGGATTCTTGGATTTTTGGTATTTTCATGCCAAAAATAATAAAGGAAATAATAAAGTATATTATCTATTTAATATTTCTATTCAGTTTATACACTGTATAAATACAACACATGCAGTGAGCCTTTGTGACTGTGCGTCTTGACGTCAGTTCTTTCCTTTATACATCTATATATTCAATACTTTTCTCTACCTTCTTTATATGTGTACCTATATATGTTAGTTTACCAGCATGTTCCTCTAACTTCTTTTAACATGATACTATATATATATATATTAGTTACCAGCTGATGTGACCCACGTGTTTGGGGCACGCTATTTCATTATCACAGGAATTATTACTATCCATAATAACTTATTAATGATGGGAGCACAGTAATATTAATGACTCGAAGCCAAAAAGAATAAGGATGATAACAATCAGTAAGAATAAGTAGTACCAAAAGTAAATACTATAAACAATAAGATGCTTAGTAATTATTATTGCTTATCATTATGACTTCTTTCTATTAAGTACGAATAGTCATTACTATCAGTAGTTATCATTAGCAAGTAGTGGTACTTATTGTTATTGTAAAGTGTTCTTATCACCACCAAAGACTCACGATAAAAAATATCATAAGCAGTATTAAGTATTTATAATTACTAATTCTCACGAGTATGTATTCTTTTTATTATCACAGAGTCTTAGCAATTAGATATGTCTTGCTAAAAATGTTAGCAATCAAGTATGTCTTACTGAAAAGTGTTATTAATTGCAATTATTATTTGCAATTATTGATAGGCAGCATTATTTTTAAGAAGCATTCTTGTTATTACAAAGCTCTGATAATATGAAAAACAAATTTACTTATGAACTATCATAACTAAATGTTATCACTCATCAATACCAATTGTTATTAGGAAGTTTTATGAGCAATCATGGCAACTACGTTATCAAGAGTAAGTATTCTCATTATTATCACAGAGTCTTAGCACTTAAGTATGTCTTACTGAGAGTTGTTATTACTAATTATCACTATTACTTATTACTAGCAAACATTATTTGCAATTATTGATAAGCATCATTATTTCTAACAAGTATTCTCATTTATTAAGGAATTGCTAAGAATAAGTATATTCCAAAATACTCATAATTAGATATTATCACTCATTAATACCAATGATTCTTAGGAAGTGTTATGAGCAATCGTTATAACTATTATTCATAGGTGTCATCTTTATTACACATTCTTAGAACATGTGATTTTATTCCTTATTATTCATATCCGTTGTCACTATCCATTAATGTATTTCCATTAGTAGTAATTCGTGTTAGTAATGCATACTGGTAATTGCTAATATTTAGTCTCATTGGTTTTCTTGTTTCTGTATGAAAAATACACAGTAATGATTTACTGTTAATACTGTTCCACAGGTTGAACTAATTTTCATTCTTAAGTAGTATTGGCAATTTCTATTGACAACTATCATCGTCAAGAACCATAACCAATAAGTATTACAGATAATGATGACTTTACGATCCTTAGCTATGACTTTAGTTGTTGATTTTGATTTTTATTACCAGGTACTAATTGATGATTCTTAGTAATTAATCTTGAATCTTGGCCCGGGCTAAGAACCGTGCTAATGCAAAATGTAAGCAAGAGCGCTCAAATCCAAGGTTCTTCACTCTTTCTTCACGAAAGAAATCCCTCACGACATGCGTCGCTAGTTCCGCACAGAAATTCTGAAACCCTGAGTACCTGTTTTCCTACTTTCAGGACTAAATCTCATATTGAAGGTATCTTATATTTAAAGGGGAATTCTCCAGTCTAAGGCATCTCAAATTTCAACAGGCAATAAGAAAGTGTTCAGAATATTACATCTATTGGAGACCATGACAATGTTCCTCATAGGAGGCTGATAAAGAGAAAAAAGAAGCCTGAGACTGGAGAATCTGCATCTAAATGCACAACAGATTTAGTAAGGAATTTGTACGTAGAAAAGCCCAGAGCAACAAATGACTCACTTTGTAGCCTACCGGTAAGACTGAACTTCATGTCTTTCTCTCGAAAATCACGGTCTGCGCGTGTCATGGG